AGGAGAACTGATCCTTCTTTGATCCGTGAAAGGAGAACTGATCCTTCTTTGATCCGTGAAAGGAGAACTGATCCTTCTTTGATCCGTGAAAGGAGAACTGATCCTTCTTTGATCCGTGAAAGGAGAGCTGATCCTTCTTTGGTCCGTGAGAGGAGAACTGATCCTTCTTTGATCCGTGAGAGGAGAACTGATCCTTCTTTGGTCCGTGAGAGGAGAACTGATCCTTCTTTGATCTTTGGGAGAGGAGAACTGATCCTTCTTTGGTCCGTGAAAGGAGAACTGATCCTTCTTTGATCCGTGAGAGGAGAACTGATCCTTCTTTGGTCTTTGGGAGAGGAACTGATCTTTGCATATTCACTTTTACTTATAGGTTTCCTTTCCACCTGAGCCCTGTGACTGGACAAGACAACCAGCACACAGATGAGCTCATCTTCTTGTCATTCTGATCTCTCAACCTATCAGCATTCTCCTTGCACTGCAGAACTGGCTCCTTGTACTGTTTCTCCCCCTCCATCTGTGTGCTCTGGTGTAAGGACTATACAGATACTGCAAGAGACTGATACATATAAAATTTAGGTACTTACGCTGCTTGCATTTAAAAAATGACAGATGACTACAGAGCTGCATTCATTTGTGCCTTTTATATCTGCCTGGAGTTCAGCTTTAACCTGAAGCTCCTTTTAGACATTAAAACACATAAACCGGATAGAATTACCCATTACGGCCACCCAGATGAATGCACTTTAGGAGCAGCAGGTTGTAACCCCCCTAATCTCAGCCTCCATTATTTATTCAGTCAAAGAATCCAGCGTGATACTTTGTGCAGACATATTAAATGTCAATCAGTGTGAGAGCTGCGGATAGAAAGAGTTAAGCGGCAAGCTGTCTCCTGGGATCCGGCTATCACGCAGGTATAAATGATTCAGCAGAGACATGGAATAAGTGGCTCTAGTGATGCCGTCAGCCTATTGTTGGTAACAGAATATAAACAGCATGCCAGACGGGCTCTGTGCCGCTACACAGAAATCCTGGAACTTTCCTCGGGCCGCCGCCATCGCAGATGACTAAACCAACTGAGAGATGCTGAATATACACACAGGGGCCAAGAGCCCAAGTCACTGCGTTGTGCGTTGCTTTATCAGAATGAATGATGGAAACAGACACAAAAGCTGCTCTGACGTTTCTTTGGAAGGAGTAACTATTGCCAATGTCTTAGATTTGCTTAGAATAAAACTGAAGCAACCTTAGGGAGGTTCTCTTCACAGGGAATACACAGATGATTACCAGGAAGGTTCTACAAAGATTCTTTGTACATCACTTATTGAAATGCTGCAGAGATCCAATCGGACAATTCTGTGTGACCTGTCCCTGCAGTAAAACATCATGACAACACGCCCAGAGGCATGACAGCTAATTAAACAGAGATTTTAAAGAGACCCAGAGAGACAAGCGCTCCTTATTTAATTAAGGTAGAACTACACCCCCCCTATCCCTTGCAGCCAGGGAAGGAGCCATCTTGGCCTCTATTTGGATTGCAGTTGCCATGGTGCTGCATATGTAATCAGCTACGACACCAGCCATTTGGAGGGCTTGAAAGTTCGGTCGAAAGCTGGAATAAGCACACTGACAACTGACGACTGGCATGCCTTTAAAGTGACACTAAACTCAGGAATTAAATCTTAAAAATACATTCAAGTCCCTTAATTATTAACAACAATGTATCCTATTTGTGTATCACTCGGCTGTAGATCCTCCAATCATCTCTGACACTGTCCTTCCTTCTGGAGGGGGGCTACTTTTGTTCCCCATGGTCCCTGTGTGTGTTGTAAAGTAGTCGCCACTCCAAGCTCACTCCTGTGATGGACTACAATCTCATGTTTAGTTTACGGATTTGTACTGAGATTGTAGTCCGGGGAGCGAGCTTGGAGCGGTGACTACTTTACAACACACACAGGGGCCATAGGTTCAGGGTAGATGACTGTCTCTGGATGCAATTGGTCTGTGTCCAGGGAGAATCATCTATCCCGAACCACAGGTCGTTGTTCCATGCACAGTTCCATGCAGACAGATGCGGCAGCCGTCACTCTGTCATTCACTTGAACAGGCACAGCGATCACATCTATATGGACAAACCTGGGATTCCTGCCACAAGAATACATAGATTCTTCCTGCAGGAATCCCCACGCTTATCCATCCCGGATTCCCGCCTGGCTGTGCTTGTCCAGACTGAGAGCCGGCATTTCTGCTGTACTGTGCAGCACTGGCCTCCCGCCACAGTATAATGGACCAGCACTTTGCCCAGCTTGCCAACAGGGAGAAGGATTCTGTATTCAACTCCGTGGTGGTAAGCTGACACATGCAAAGTACAGAAGAATCTCTGCCTCCTGATTATGACACGCATTGCCTCATCTTAAAGTTGGATATACGCTCTTCTTTTTTTGGTTCAACCTGCCGGCTGTTTGTAGAAAATAGAACAGATTCCTCTACTAACGCTTCCGAATGTTGATTGAGAAATCTTCCGCTGACAGTGGCCGCTGTCAGAATACCTGAACAGAGCTGGCAGCACTTTGGCTCTGTTCGGCCGGGAATTTTCCGACATGCTCCTTCGATCAGCTGATGGAGGGATGCCGGTTGGAAAGGTCCCGGCTGCGACACCCGCACTTGAAATTTCGGTCGGTTCATCGAGAACCATCCGAGATTCAAAGTGTGTATACCCGGCATAAGCCACAGGGATCCTAATGCTGAGAAGTCTGATCTGCTATCTAAGGGCCCATTCACACCAATTGTGGTGCGTTCCAGAGCTACACCTGCTGGAACGCACAGCAAATCGCACACTAAACTTCCCCCTTCATTCTGGGGCAGGAGGGGGTATGGTGGTGTTTTGAAGTCAATGGCACCGCAGCCACGCATCCCCCCCCCCCCCCCCCCAGACCACTGCCAGCACACAAAAAATGCTGCATGCACTATTTTTTGTGTTTGCAGTGGACCGGAACGCAGGCAATGTTAAAAGTAGGGATGCGCTGATAATGCATCCCTACTTTTTTACCATATTACGGTCCTCGCCGATACCGAGACCGGTGCTTCTGCTAGAATGTAGCTGGCTTCCTGGGCAATCAGGAAGCCAATGACGTGTCATTACCTGCCGCCCGGCTTCTCAATTGCCCGGGAAGCCGGCTCCATGCTTTTTGGTCCGCTCAATGTTGAGCTTCCTGGCCAATAAGGAAGGTAAAACATTGCCTGCATTCCGGTCCACTGCGAATGCAAAAGAAATGCTGCATGCTCTATTTTTTGTGTTCGCAGTGGACCGGAACGCAGGCACTGTTTTGCCACGCGTCCAATTGCACTGCTGGCGCAGGGGGGAGGCGCGGCTGAGGTGCCATTGACTTCCCCCAGAACGAAGGGGGAAGTTTAGTGTGCGATTGCTGTGCGTTCCAGCACCTACTGCTCTGAAACGCACCGCAATTGGTGTGAACAAGCCCCAAAAGGACAGCTTTGCAGATGTACAAGGGGAGACATATGGGGTTGCTCCAAAAGCACATTTATCCTTTAAAACGTAGAAGACGCAGACGCAATGTAAATGAAGCACACAGCTAAATAACAGAGATCAGCATTTACTTTCCTCTGCCGGCGTGAGCAGTAATTCTGACGTGTACTCTGCATCCAAAACCTATTCCTGCAACACCATCTCTCCCGCTGCACGTCACGTCTTGTAAAGGACGAGCCCGGCGCAGGCTTACCTCTCTGTAGATTGGCGATGGCCTCGTCGTAGTTCTCCATTTCCATCTGGCACTGCCCCAGGAAGAAGTGGGCCTTCACAGACTGGCAGTCCAGCTCCAGGGCGTGCTTGCAGTCGGCCAGGGCCTTGTCCAGCTGCTGCATTTTCAGGTAGCACAGAGCGCGGTTGGTGTAGTACACGGCGATGGAGGGGTTGCGGGTCTGGACAGGAAAAAGGAGAGTCAGTAAGAATAAAAAGGTAACAGACGTACACGGGAGCAGCTTCTCCAGGCTATCTGTTCTTTACCAGAGTCATACGTGGAAAGTAGTGTCCTGGTGTTCATATACTGCACTGGCGAACTGGAAACTGCTGGAATACACCTCTAGAGCAGGGGTAGGCAAACTCCGCCCCTCCAGCTGTGGTGAAACTACAAATCACATCCTGCATCTGCCTCTAGGAGTCATATCTGCGGCTGTCAGGCTGGCAATGCCTCATGGGACTTGTAGTTGCACCACAGCTGGATGGCTGGAGTTTGCCTACCCCTTTTATATAGGGATCACCAAATCTGAGAGACCCCCCAGCTCTCAAGACATGGGCTTCATCATCCAATAGGCTGTGCCGGTGTTATAAACCAGAGGACGCACATTTGGCCAATGGGACGTGACTATTATGACTAGGGATGCACCGATACTTATATTGGTGCTGATGCTGAGTATTTGGGCAAGTACTAGTACTCGCCCAAATGATCCGATGCCTAGCCCGATACTTCCAGTGCCAGGAAGCTGGGAAGTGAGTCATTACACACTGCCCGGCTTCCTGATTGGCCAGAAAGCCGGCTCCATGCTTTCTTGTCACCTAGTGACGAGAAGCATTGGGGACGGCTTCCTTGCTACTCTGGAAGCCAGGTGGCGAGTCTTTACACGCCGCCTGGCCTCCTTAATGGCACTTACGGTAACGGTAAGTACAGAAAAAAAAAAATATTGGTACTCAATACCGAAATACCGGTATCGGTGCATCCCTAATTATGACTGCTGACTATTATCCTTCAGGAGGAATAAACACATTAGAGGGAGATTTATCAAATCTGGAGCAGACAGAATCTGAAGCAGCTGTGCAGGGCAACCAATCAGCCTCTCGCTTTCATTTCCAAAGCTTAACTGAACAAATTGAAGAGAGAAGCTGATTGGTTGCCACGGGCAACTGCTCCAGATTCTGTCTGCTCCTGTCATGATAAATTCCCCTCTGTGTTTATTTTTTAAACTGCACCCCACAAAGCAGCCAATGCAGCACACTGCGACGCGCTACCCTGAGCTGTACTGCATCGGAAAAAAAGGCGCAGGTATGTTCTTCTGTCCGCTCTTGGGCATTAGAAGCCCATTCGCAATGCATCAGCTGCTGGGCAAAATAACAGACGTTAATGCCCTTATAGGTCCTGCCCCTCCCCCACCCTGTGACTGGGAAGTAAAAGGAAAAGCAGAAGATTAATGAGCTCATCTCTCTGCTCTCTCCTCCCAACAGCATGTACATAAGCACTGCTGCACTTTGTACTGCTTCTTCCTTCCCAGTCTGAGCTCTGCTGTATAAGAGGCTGCAGAAGGCTGATACCAGGTCAGGTTCAGGTACTTCTTACATTAAAATACATGTAATGGTGTAATAATGAATGCAGAGTGGCAGTATTGTGCGTCTTATTTCTGCTCAGAATTAAACGTACACACACAATGGATGACGGTGATAATAGAATGATGTTATATGAATTGCTCAGTGTGATGTAATAACATATATCGGTGACGTGCTGCGTATACTCACAATGGATGACGGTGATAATAGAATGATGTTATATGAATTGCTCAGTGTGATGTAATAACATATATCGGTGGCGTGCTGCATATGCTCATGATGGAGGACGGTGATAATAGTGTGATGTAATAACATATATCGGTGGCGTGCTGCGTATACTCACGATGGAGGACGGTGATAATAGTGTGATGTAATAACATATCGGTGACGTGCTGCGTATACTCACGATGGAGGACGGTGATAATAGTGTGATGTAATAACATATCGGTGACGTGCTGCGTATACTCACGATGGAGGACGGTGATAATAGTGTGATGTAATAACATATCGGTGACGTGCTGCGTATACTCACGATGGAGGACGGTGATAATAGTGTGATGTAATAACATATCGGTGACGTGCTGCGTATACTCACGATGGAGGACGGTGATAATAGTGTGATGTAATAACATATCGGTGACGTGCTGCGTATACTCACGATGGAGGACGGTGATAATAGTGTGATGTAATAACATATCGGTGACGTGCTGCGTATACTCACGATGGAGGACGGTGATAATAGTGTGATGTAATAACATATCGGTGACGTGCTGCGTATACTCACGATGGAGGACGGTGATAATAGTGTGATGTAATAACATATCGGTGACGTGCTGCGTATACTCACGATGGAGGACGGTGATAATAGTGTGATGTAATAACATATCGGTGACGTGCTGCGTATACTCACGATGGAGGACGGTGATAATAGTGTGATGTAATAACATATCGGTGACGTGCTGCGTATACTCACGATGGAGGACGGTGATAATAGTGTGATGTAATAACATATCGGTGACGTGCTGCGTATACTCACGATGGAGGACGGTGATAATAGTGTGATGTAATAACATATCGGTGACGTGCTGCGTATACTCACGATGGAGGACGGTGATAATAGTGTGATGTAATAACATATCGGTGACGTGCTGCGTATACTCACGATGGAGGACGGTGATAATAGTGTGATGTAATAACATATCGGTGACGTGCTGCGTATACTCACGATGGAGGACGGTGATAATAGTGTGATGTAATAACATATCGGTGACGTGCTGCGTATACTCACGATGGAGGACGGTGATAATAGTGTGATGTAATAACATATCGGTGACGTGCTGCGTATACTCACGATGGCTTTGCTGTAGCAGGAAACAGCCTCTTGATATTTGCGGGCGACAAACAGCCGGTTGCCCTGCTCCTTCATCTCCTGGGCGCTGGCGCTTTTCTCCGGGCTCCCGCCGATGTCGCCTTGACCCCCGCTGACACCCGACGGGCGTCCTCCGCCGCTCCCGCTGTCCTCCTTCCCTTTCATAGCGGGGCCGCCGGGGGTCACCCCTCCAAACCTCGGGATGCTCGGTGTCACCCCCAATTTCACAGCTCACGAGGGACCCCTGCGGGTAAAAAGGGGGATCCCCTTACATCAGTGTGAATGACATCTGCAGTCCCCAGTCTCTTCTTCTACCAGAACTCCGGGGGAACAATTCCTGAGGGGTGCAGCCCCAATGCAAGAGATAACCAAGTCATACTCACCCCAAACTGGTGACATCTCTATTGTCTGCCATTGGCGGCGCCCTCCGCGCTCATTCCAAGCACCCTTCCCCATATTCGGGGTAGTCCGGTAAGGAGTGCAACAAACCTTTCTCTTCATCTCCTTCTCTGACCGGTCCCTGGAGCCTCAAGAGCCGGCTTCACGGGTAATCAAGAAGCCAGGCGGCATGTAATGACACACCTCCCAGCTTCCTGATTGCCCGGTTAGCCGGCTCCATGCTAGCGGAAGTACCGGTAGGGGTGCATCCCTATTTTCAACAGATGCGAACGGGAGGCCACCCAAAAATAAATGTGTGGCTGGAGACGGTGCACAGCAGATCCGGTGCGTTATGTTACCCTGAATAAACATTGTGCGTGTTCTACTTTTTTCTATCAGCACGTAACGGAACACCACAGGAGGGGTGCGGACCACCCCCATTCACACCCCCCACTCATTGTTCGGTGCCCTTCTGTTAGCATCCGTCAAAAAACATATTGCACCGCAACTGATCCGGTGTGAATGGGCCCTTTAGCTCACCACACACGTTACCATCTGATTGTACAATCGCTTTTATATCCACCAACACCTATGTAGTGCCGGGGGGCGTCCTGACTGAAGGCAGATTGATCGGATGGATCAGGGACGCCCTCGTATTACATAGATTTGGCCAATCTAAAATTGATTGTACAAAAAAAAAAAAATTGGCCGGTCAGATGGGAACGTGTGTGGTGACCCGAACAGCGAGCCGGCTCCGAGGATCAGCGGAGTAGAACTTTGTTATTTTGAACCTGGACAGAAACGAGCACTTAACCCTTGCAGGGCCAGTTTAGGGTCCAGAAATGTTTCCCCAGAGTTCTCCTTTAAAAAATGTCTATTAACATGAAACTGATTAAAGGCGATTACCCGAAAATTCATCAAAGTATCACACACAGAAATAAACAATCCAAATCAAATCATTAGGGATGCACCCAGACTGGCTATTCGGTATCGAGTAGCGATATTTTTATTTTCGATACTCGCTGATACAAAATACCGGAAGTCCCAATAAGGATTGTAATGACTCAACACACACCCCCCACTTCCTGATTGGCTGGGAAGCCGGCTCCATGCCCTTGCGTCACCAGGTGATGAGCAAACATGGAGCCGGCTTTCTGGCCAATTAGGAAGCTGGGGAGGGGGTAATGACTCACCGCCCGGCTTTCGAGTCATTACACGCCCCCGGACTTCCTGATTGGCCAGGAAGCCAGCTCCATGCTCCCGTCACAAAGTGACGAGGGAGCATGGAGCCGGCTTCCCCATCAATGAGGAAACTGGGGAGCGAGTCAATATTTATATGTCCCCTGTGTTAGTCCCGGCACCCTCTAGTCATATTTATGTCACCTGTGCTAGTCCTGGCACCCTCTAATAATATTTATATGTCCCGTGTTAGTCCCGACACCCTCTAATAATATTTATATGTCCCGTGTTAGTCCCGGCACCCTCTAATAATATTTATGTCCCCTGTGTTAGTCCCGGCACCCTCTAGTCATATTTATACGTCCCCTGTGTTAGTCCCGGCACCCTCTAGTCATATTTATACGTCCCCTGTGTTAGTCCCGGCACCCTCTAATAATATTTATATGTCCCGTGTTAGTCCCAGCAACCTCTAGTCATATTTATACGTCCCCTGTGTTAGTCCCGGCACCCTCTAGTCATATTTATGTCACCTGTGCTAGTCCTGGCACCCTCTAATAATATTTATATGTCCCGTGTTAGTCCCAGCAACCTCTAGTCATATTTATACGTCCCCTGTGTTAGTCCCGGCACCCTCTAGTCATATTTATGTCACCTGTGCTAGTCCTGGCACCCTCTAATAATATTTATATGTCCCGTGTTAGTCCCAGCAACCTCTAGTCATATTTATACGTCCCCTGTGTTAGTCCCGGCACCCTCTAGTCATATTTATGTCACCTGTGCTAGTCCTGGCACCCTCTAATAATATTTATATGTCCCGTGTTAGTCCCAGCAACCTCTAGTCATATTTATACGTCCCCTGTGTTAGTCCCGGCACCCTCTAGTCATATTTATGTCACCTGTGCTAGTCCTGGCACCCTCTAATAATATTTATATGTCCCGTGTTAGTCCCAGCAACCTCTAGTCATATTTATACGTCCCCTGTGTTAGTCCCGGCACCCTCTAGTCATATTTATGTCACCTGTGCTAGCCCTGGCACCCTCTAATAATATTTATGTCACCTGTGCTAGCCCTGGCACCCTCTAATAATATTTATATGTCCCCTGTGCTAGTCCTGGCACCCTCTAATAGTAATATTGACATACATGTCCCCTGTGTTGGTCTTGGCACCCTCTAGTCATATTTATATGTCCCCTGTGTTGGTCTCAGCACCCTCTAATAGTATTATATACATGCACAGTGAGCCAGTCTCAGTTCCCCCATCACCCGTGGGGGCAGAGCCCCTCATACCATCCCCTTTCCATAGAAAACACTCAGCACCTATATTACCTCAGGGTCTGCACAGTGCTGTCTGGGGCCCTACAGGAGCCTGTATAGAGCAGCCCAGCTTTGCTATGGTAACCCCCCTTGTCCTAGAGAACCCCCGGGACCTCCAGCCATAGGCCGCAGCGGGACACACAGGTTGTTCTTCCCCTTCCTTCAGGCCAGCTCCAGCCCGCAAAGCCTCTGATCCAGCCAAGCAGCTAGTCCCAACCGGAACTTCCGTCTACTCCGACCTGTGACAAACCTCCTCTGACACAGGCCAAGCTCGCAGCGATTTTAGGTGTGTCTTCACTTTGGAATGCGCGGTGTCCGCGAGGGAAGACATTTTGTCGGAGATCAAGTGCCCTGCAGATGTTAGGCAAACGGCGTCACCCATCATGGCTCCGTGACGGAGACAGATAGCGTAGGAGAATTTGATCTCTAGCGTTTGGAGCGCGGGCGCAATGATTGGCTGTCTTTGGGTAACAAGGGGCGTTCTGGGCCAATGGAAGACATGTTGGGGGGTGGAACGCAAATCGGCGGCGCTGGAACGCACACGTGATCAGAGAGGCGCTCTCTGTGAACTTGGGACTGGCAAGTATGGGAATGCACCGCTTGTAACTGGGATTAAATCATGTGGATTGGGGGGCTTTTTAATACAAAACTAGCTACGCATTGAAAGCAAGGGAGCATGGAATACAAGTTTTCAGATATAGCAGACTGGTGATAGGTAGTGCCCCTTCAATGTTATGCAATTGTGTACCTGCATCCGCCATTTGCCATGTAAACCTGAACTCCTGACAAATCAACACCAATAAATGCAGATTATCAATGCATTATCTAAACACAATTTAAATGCAACTAGAGTTAAAGCTGAAGTTTAATCTTCTTATATTGTCGTTGTTGTCGTCGTCGTCATCCCCATCAATATGATAATAAACAAATTAAATAAAACTTTTCCCTTTTTTTTTTTTGATTACATTCCTTTTTTTTTAATCTCCAGTGGGGCCTGGCAGGATGCTGCACCCTTCCTGAAAACATCACAGCACCCTGCCTCAGCACTCCTCTGAAGAGCCCTCAGCTCTGATGCAAGCAGTGGGCTGGCTCTTGGGAGGAGTTATGCAAATGTAAAATGCCACAATAGGCGGGTGTCTGTCTAGAGGAGTGGCCGTTCCAGGGCGGGTTGAATTGGCACGCAGGCTGCCCTAGGTAATACCCGCAATGAACTGAAATTTAATTAAAAAAAGGGCAGGGGAGGAAAGTGCTAGATGATACTGGAATCCTCTGTTGTGACGAGCTTAGCTTAAAGTCAGCCATTGTATGTGTCTTAGTAGGTTAGAGGATTTCCAGGAACTTATGTAACCAATATTCTTGTGTAATGTATACATGCCCGCCCCTGTGGAATGCACCATTTTGGGAGTATGCTTCTGTTCTTGTTACACAAAATGCCAACTGTTATCTCTCCCAGTACCGGTCTGTGCCGTGTTATGCTACACGCACCTGTGTGCTTCTCCCTATAAAAACTTGCAGCGCTCTCCAATATAACAGAACCGCTCGCTTACCGAACCTGAACTGTTCTCTGTGTGCACACACACTGGATTTCAATGTAGGTCTTGGGTTCTGTCATAACCATTTGGCGAGCCGAGAGCCAGGAGTTGGACTGAATTGCCAGGTCAGCCGCAAGAAGACCGTGGACTGTGCTCATCGCAGACACCTAAAGGCGCCTGGTAAGCTGAACCCCTTTGCTTCCTTTCTGTCTCTGCGATGAGCCCATCTTTGTGTCTGTCGGCTGCGCGGGATTAGTAAGTTCAACTTTCCAACCTTTCTCTGACACACTGTACATGATATGTTGGGTTTTGTCCATCTGGATTTCCAAATAGCAATCCTGAAGTAGTACGTGTGTTGGTTTAGTTATATTCATCACCCATAGATAAGTCTTTTAGGGGGATATTCACAAAGGAGCCGAAGGATCCAGCTGTAGCTTTGGCTGATCCGTCGGCTAGCTGAAGCCACCGGAGCCCTTCAGTTCAGTCCAACCGTAGGGATGTTGTACGAGCTATTCACTATAGCCTGTACAGCAGCCGAAGGCTGGCCTTCCACTCCCCTGCAAATGACAGCTGGGCGGAGCGGATGGAGGTCAGATATAAGACCGAAGGGAAGGACAGAGGTCAGATATAAGACTGAAGGGAAGAACGGAGGTCAGATAGAAGACTGGAGGGAAGGACGGAGGTCAGATAGAAGACTGGAGGGAAGGACGGAGGTCATATTTAATACCCGAGTTCTGTCTCTTGTAATAGCCTGTACAGCAGCGCTCAGACTGGGATAGGGAGGGGGGAGTGCTAATGGCCAATCAGGCATCCTGCATGCTAATATACTACAGAGGAACATGCTGACTAGAGAAGTGGGATGACCTGAACAGTCTGTTACTGCTCCTTTACTGTCCAGTCACAAGCCGGGGGTGGGGAGGTGACCTAGCTGCAGTAGAGAAAAGTTAGGTCGCTGTGGCTGGTTTTGCGAAGCATGATTTATTGTGTACTGGGCCATAGAGGAGGGATCTGTAGATCATGAAATCAGTACATTAGACTCATCAAGTTTCCCTTTTTACCAAAGCACAGCTCTAATCTTCTCCCTTTCCCTGCACAGAGGGGAGACGCGGCCCAGGAAAATGGCGCTGACGTCCAGTCTCTTCCAGTGCAGCGATCCAAAGAAGTGGCAGCAAGTTTCTGATATCTACTGGGATGTGGTTGAGGCCGCGGGAGCCAAGAAGAAACGATTAGTAGAGCTGGATAGATGGTGAGTCAGAGTTCAAGAGGCAGGACCAAAGCCAGCCAGCCAGCCAGGCAGGCCAACAGGAAAGATATTCTATAGTTCACGTATGTATTCATATACGAGTCAAAGAATCAAGTTCAGCTGAAGCCGCCTTTGGCTAAAAATCATCCCATCATGCAGCTCTCCATCCTGATATGAAATCATCTCACATTCATTAGTTAAACAAACATATTTTTCTTTTACTTGTAATATTACTGTTTTTCCACTTCCTGGTCCTCTTTGCACAAGTGATATAATGTGCCCAAGCGTTGCATCCTGGGAAGGTGACATCAGCAGATCATCGCTGGGAAATCTCATCTGTAATCTCACCAGATCTCAGGGAAAGGTATTTTCCTCCCCTGAAATGATGTACATGGTCACACGTCCTAGTCACATGGGCCAGAGTTCCAGGAAGTAAATAGAGATGGATTAATCTGCCCTATAGCAAAAATGGCTGCCGTGAGAAGAATGGGGAGGAAAAGAATACAAAGCCGGCAATGATCTAGAAGTATGTGTTTTCTAGATTGTCATTACTAAACATTTCTAAAGATGACTTTGTTGTTATTTTGAAGATCAGGGTGAAGGGCCTAAAGTAAAGGGCCATCTCCATTTACTTCCTGGAACTCTGGCCCATGTGACTAGGACGTGTGACCATGCACATCATCTCAGGGGAGGAAAATGCCTTTCCCTGAGGTCTCCTGAGATTACAGATGAGATTTCCCAGCAATGCTCTGCTGATGTAACCGCCCCAGGACGCAACGCTCGGGCACATTACATAACTTGTGCCAAAGAGGACCAGGAAGTGGAAAAACAGTAATTTATAAGTTCATTCACACTGAGCGGATTGCCGCGCGATTTCCACCGCGATATCGCGCATTTTTGCTGCCCGATATCGCGAGAAGTCGCCGGCCAATGATTTTCAATGGAGCTGTCTTCATGTACAGCTCAGTGTCGCCCGTCGCGGTCGCAAGTCGCTTCTACAGGACCCATTTTGCGCGATTTTTCTATTTTTTTT